GGGACAGGTAGTCCCTGACTTAGGGTCAGGTTAGGTTCTGCCGAGTCTCTCCTAGGTCAGCAGAGGTGGACGACTCAGTCCTGACCTAAGTTGAATACCTCCTTTTAAAAAACTGTCAGCGTGATTGCCTTTTGTTAGTAGTATCTTCATAGAGCTGGTCTTTGTCTTCCGGGACGGGTATGAGAATGATAACTGCAGCAAATCATGTGCTGTCACACTGTATGCGGTGCCTATCACTAATGATGGAATAATGTAAAGATGTAAGAAAAACCACCCAAATGAACACTCCTCAGTGAGGTTTGTTATCACGGAAACACATCATAAATTGGGGGGTAGTTATAATCATATAGAATAGGAATTAGCCCATAGGTCAAATTCATCCCATAGTCTCTTTTTGCACATAAATTTCATTGGAACACAATCACATTCATTGGTTTATGACTACTTTCACATTGTGAACATATGACCTGAAAAATCTAAAATGTGTATCTATCTTCTATGGAAATAGTTTGCTTATCTCTAATATAGAGAATATGAATACTATGATTAATAATGGAGACCTAATCAGGCATTGACAATAGAGAGTAGTTCCATTAAAGTATCTATAGAACATTTGTAAAAATCTTCTATAACGATTGCATTTCTTATGATTTCTCCTTGTATTTCTGTTGGTCTTGTTTTATATTTTTGGGTGCTTTATTATTTGGTGGGGGAGCCCTGGTGGCACAGTGGTTAGTAGTTAGCTGCTGACTGGAAGCTGCTGATTGGAAGGTTCCAACCCACCAGCCACTCTGCAGGAGAAAGATGAGGCTGGCTGGTCCATGAAGATTTCAGCCTTAGGAGGCTTATGCAGCGGTTCTACTCTGTCCAACAGTTATGAAGAGTCAGAACCCTCTTGATGGCAAAGGGTATATTATTTGGTGCATACAAGTTTACGATGCTTGCTTCTTCAATAGGGACTATCCCTCATTATTATAGTTTCTTTCGTATTTTTTTTAATTGGGGGTGCATAAAACTCTTATCACAACCCATACATACATCAAATGTATAAAGCACATTTATACATTCATTACCCTAATCATTCTCAAAACATTTGCTCTCCACTTAAGTCCCTGGTATCAGCTCCTCATTTTTCCCCTGCCTCCACGCTGCCCCCTACCTCATGAGTGCTTGAAAATTTATAAATTATTATTTTGTCCTATCTTACACTGTCCGACGTCTCCCTTCACCCACTTTTGTGTTGTCCATCTCCCAGGGAAGAGGTTATAAGTAGATCGTTGTAATTGGTTCCTCTTTTCCAACCCACCTTCCCTCCACCCTCCCAGTATCGCCCCTCTAACCACTGGTCCTGAAGGGGTCATCTGTCCTGGTTTCCCTGTGTTTCCTGTTCCTATCTGTATCAGTGTACATCCTCTGGCCTTGCCAGATTTTTAAGGTGGAATTTGTAAGGGATCATGATAGTGGGTGGGGAGGAAGCATTTAGGTACTAGAGGAAAGTTGTATGTTTCATTGTTGCTACACTGCACCCTGACTGGCTCATCTCCTCCCCGCGACCCTTCTGTAAGGCGATGTCCAGTTGCCTACAGATGGGTCTTGGGTCCCCAATCTGCACTCCCCCTCATTCACAATGATATGAATTTTTTGTTCTTTGATGCCTGATACCTGATCCCATGGACACCTCGTGATCACACAGGCTTGTGTGCTTCTTCTATGTGGGCTTTGTTGCTTCTCAGCTAGATGGCTGCTTGTTTACCTTCAAGCCTTTAAGACCTCAGA